CCGCCATTCATATCTATTGATATCACTCACAGATATTGACGTAGGCATGGTATAATGGCATTGATGTATGGAAGCGCTTTTGTGCATGTTTATGTGTATGTTGTTATATACTACATACACTCTTTTAGGCCTATGATGTTTTTCGATGCTTCAGGCTTTCTCCTATATAGAACAGTCTTTCTCTTCATCTTACATCCTTTTTCATATATGCTTTTTCTGAACTATCGATTTAACAATCCATTTAACCAACCACCCTTCTTCGTCATCTTGCTCTTCTCCCTCCTTTACTACCAGCTCTCTTCCCCCGCTCTCCTGATCTGTCAATTTTAGCAGGCAGAGGAAAATTTAAACGAGTGGGCGGAAGAAGAGAGGTATAATAAAGAAGTCTAAATGAATTCCTTTTTTTCATTGCGCAAAGAAAAACAAAACTTTTTTAACATTAAAGCGCATTGGGACACTTTAATGGATATTCCATTGGAGGAATTTCAAATAAATATTCATTGAGTTGATTGTTTTGTTTATTTGTAAATATGTTTGTTTTGTTGTTTCTTTAATAGCTTATGCTTAGGCTTTCAAAAAATTTCTATGTATTTTAGTTAGTTATAAATTAGAGAATTAAACAAAAAAGTAAATTAAATTAAAATCAATCGCTCGTTTTCTCCCCGCTCTCTTCACCACCCTTTTTTTCCTTTTCATTTTTTCAATTTCTTCAATTTCTTTATCAAATTAAGCACTCAATGAAAGAAGAAATCTTTTAGTTAGTATATACCTCATATTACCTTTAATTAAGGTTTAAAAGAAAAACATTCTGTTAATCAGAGATAATTTATAAGGTATTAAAATGATTTCAATTTTTATAGTATCATCAAATATTGTAGCATAGAATTGGAAATGAAATTTCAATATGAATTGAAACAATTGGAAATGAAATTTGAATATGAAAGGAAATTTTATGAGAACTAAAAATAGCAACAAGTTCGTATTTTTTGGAATATTTTATTTCAATTGTTTTTTCATTCATTGTAATTCGAAATATAAGTGTCACTCCTTTTTCTTTTCTGTAGTATCTGTGAATGTTAGCTGATAAACAGTATCAGTAAGATTCTTTAATGAAGTTTCTGTTTATCTTTCTGTTTACTGATACTGTTTATCAGTAAGATTCTTTATTGAAGTTGACTTTATCCAATAATTTCATTGAGGGAAAATTTTTCACAGAATTTTGCATGGAAAAATAAAATGAAGGGATGAATTAATGAAGTGTAAAATTGAATTTAATAAAATTTCCATTTATTTAAAAAGGAGGAAGTAAGTTTTCATCAAAATAGATTTCAATTCATAAGAATGAATGAATGAATGAAAAATGAAAGTTGAAATTTCGTTAAGTATTTGTGTAGTAGACAAATTTGATATAAGAAGTAACAATAATTCTATTTTACTAGTAATGATAATTATTCATAAACTTTATGCATAAATTTAATTGATTGTTGTTTTCTTTTTGTTTTAAAAAAATTATCGTAAAAAATTTATTGTCTTAGAGACATTTAAAATTTCAAAAAAGAAATATTTCAAATGAAATTTTATTGGGTAAAATTCATTTAGATATTTTAGTGAAACTTTACCGATAGCATATTATTTTATTATCTCATTTGAAATGAAATGAGTTATTGTTTCAATTTGTTTGTATTCCTTCCTTTTTAATTATATCATTACTTACTTACCTGATTAATTCCTTGGAAATTTTATTTTTTCATTAATTTATTTGAATTTATAATTTTGATTTATTCATAATGATTATTATCTTCAATATGAAGTTTATTTTATTATCTCATTTGAAATGAAACTAATTATTGTTTTATATGTTAATAATAACAAATGTAAGCTAAGGTATACCTTGATAAGATCGAAGATCGAGATATATTTATAAATATAATTGAGTGTAAACAAGGTATAATTGGATACAAAAAAGATATATAAAATAGGCGGAATACAATTTTAAATTTCATCATTCTTTTAATATAATTCTGAATTATTTTACTTTTAATTAATTTTCCAATTTCAATTTAAAATCGTTTCTTTTCAATTTATTTCAAAAATCTTAAAATAATCATTAAATAGAATAAAAATAAAATCATTTCAATTGTTTTATAAAAATGTAAATTTTTAAATTTTCAATGAGATTACTCCTATGTAATAGAACATTAATTAACACAGGTTGATATTAATTAATGTAAACACAATTTTAATTCATATTTAGAATATTCAAATGAAAAATTAATTCATTCATTTCCAAATGTTATTCTTAAACATTTCACTTAAAACAAATAACAATTTTAGCCGTCCTAATTTTATTATTTACAAAATGAAAAGCATTGAAATCAACTTTATTATCATTGCTCATTAAAAATTAATTATCATTCATTAATAATATATTAATATTAATGCTATCTTCCTATGCTTCAATCCATAGATTTCAAATATGAAAAGAATTTTAAAATTTTTGCATAATATCCAATTAAGAGAGGGAGAGAGAGGAAGAGAGAGAGAAAAAGGATTAAAGATAATTGGTTGTATTTAATTTCCTCGTATGTTATTATCACATATTTCACCTTAATATCATTAATAATTTTTTAGTTACGATTGGAATGAAATTTATGTCTAAAAAATTGTCAAACATTTAAAAGGAAATTATCAAAAGGCTTAAAATTTTTATATTACGCTAATATAAGATATTTTTAATGAGAATAGAAATAATAAATGAGATATTGCAAACGAATAGAAATTATATCTTTTTCCAAATAATTAATATATTTTATAAATTGCTGCAAAAAATTTTCAATTTGTTCTCATAGGAAGAAAAAGAATTTTTCAATTTACAATATGATTGAATATTATTATTATGTGTTAGATAGATATAATGACGATATGGATACTTTATCATTATGTGTAGATAGATATAAATGATGATAGAGATACTTTGTCATTATGTGTAGATAGATATAAATGATGATAGAGATACTTTATCATCATGTGTAGATAGAGATAAATGATGATATACTTTATCATCATGTATAGATAGATATAGATGATATAGATGCTTTATCGTCATATGTAGATAGATATAAATGATGATACAGATAGTTTATCATCATATGTTGATAGATATAATTTTGATGAAATATAAATTCTTCAATTACATATTATTTTGAAAAAAAGAATTCCTATTTCTACCTTACAATTTTTTTAATTTATTTATTCTTGAAATGAAAAATTTAAATAATTATTAGTTTGCGCTTTTCGAAATAATTTTAAAATATCTTTTTAAACTAATCTTTAACTCTAAAAAAACAATACAACAAAAATGGCTAATTATTTTAATTATCGTAAGGTTTAAGAGAAAAAAGACAGGTGCTTATGAGTAATTGAATATAAGTGAAGTTTTAGCATACTCTCTTTAACTTCTCTCCTTAGCAACCCTTTCGTGGAACGAAGTGAGGAAGAGGAATCGAACCATATCCTTCAACTTTTTTTCCCCTAAAACTTTCATTTAACTTTCCCCTCATCACTTAAATGATCAATGAAGAAAATATCTCATTTCATACATTCTCTATCTTTTCTCATCCAATTAGTGTGATAGTATTAATTAAGGGAGGAAATGGGATAAATGAGGAAACAATGATTTCATATAATTGCCAACAAACTTTGTTTATCTTATTCAATTGATCAACAGTAAATCAGCTTCTCCTTCCAAAATATTTGATATTCTCGACGCGATAATGATAATAATATCGTTAGAAATTACAATGAAATAATATCGCTTTGTATATTTCGCTATTGTTTACCATAATTACGATAATTATAATCTATTTCTTATCAACGAATTATTTATCATTCCTATTTGACATATATTAATGTATATTGATAGTAACGGTAACGATAGTAGTAGTATTATGATGAAACATACATATGAAATGATAATAAGTGTTTCTTCTGATTGTGATAATGATAAGAATTCTTAGGCTTTTGAGTTAATTGAAAATAATTCTACTTTAATATCATATAATCTTTCATCAGGAAATGAGCTAGAATTAATTTGAATAGCCGATGAATAAAGATATCAATTGCTATTCCCAATGATATCTTATTTAATTTATTTAAATATAATAAAATTAGCAATTTGGTATATTTTTCATTTTCCAGGTCACCTGAAATTAAGGAAAAAATAAGATATCCATTTTCTATTTTTCCGTTAATTTACACAGTTGCATTTTAATAAATTGAAATAAATGAAAAAGAAATATTCACGTTCTCATCAAAATTTCCTTTGTCTTCTCTCTCTCTCTTCTCTCTCTCTCTCCCTTTCTCTCTAATTTAATTCTAAATTTTCTACAAATTATCGAATTGAAAATTAGAAATCATAGAAAGCTGTCAATAGCAATTGAACAGAAAATAAATGAAAAACATTTATTTAATAGTATTACTGTCCTCAACTTCTAAAAAATTATATTTTTCAAAAAATTTTCTTCCACAAATATAATAAAAAAGAAAATTCTAATGAAGTAAATTTTATTTTATTCTCTTAAAATTATTCATAAAATTTTTAATTAATAAACAATCAAAATGTAAAAGTAATAGAAATTATGGGAACTTACAGTATTGTATCGAAATTTGTTGAAATTTCAACTCAATCCATTCATACAATCTAATTTAGAGAAAGGATATGGAGAATTTTAAATAATTAAATAGCTTAGCATAATGTTATACCAATCTTCAAAATCATAGTTTCATCTTAATTCATCTGTCACATAGTTCTAATTTAATAATTTTAATCTAATCTGCCAATATTATCATCCTCCATATTTTAATATATGCTTATCGGTGCAGCTTTGAAATCATTTGTTTATTTTTATTGAAAAGATAATTGTTAATTCGGATAGAATAGATTGTTAATATTTCTATGTTATTCTTATTTCAAGTATCAACTGATTATGTTTGTAGATCAGATGAATGACTGGGAAATTGGTGGAACACAAAACAAATGGGTTTGTCCAAGCGACAGACATCTACAATTGAGAGCACAGTAATTTTTGATCAAGTTTTCTTTTTCACGTATCTTTACGTATTCACGTAAAAAAATTCTTTTTTTTTCAAAATGCTATAATGACTGATAATAGGTTTTTGATTATTCAAAATGATATTAATTAGATGAAAATATTTAGATAAAGAAAGAGAAATAGAGAGAGGGAGCAGGTAAATGGAAGAATTTCAAATGATAATAAAGATAATTAAAAAATGCGTGGGTCTTGTAAAAAAAGTATTTCGTCCTCTTCAAAGTTTGAATATTGCCACCTACGCAATCAAAATGATTAAGTTTGAACATCGCCACCTACGCAATCAAAATGATTAAGTTTGAACATCGCCACCTACGCAATCAGAATGATTCACATTCACACTTTGTAAAAAAAATTTATTTTAATCACTAAAAAAATGTTTCTTATCTTTGTCTTATCAGCTTTCTCTCAATTTATCATAAATTAACAAAATAAAATTATCTCATTTGAAATCAAAAATCATTCATTTTATAATCCTAAATATTTTAAAATGTACCTAAATGTTTAAAAATAGGCCTAAATATTTTAGAGTAGGCCTAAATATTTAAAAATAAGCCTAAATATTAAAAATTTTCTCTTTTAATTATATTTTACTAAAAAATTAAATATCTATCTTTCAATAAAAAATGTCACACAGTAATTGCTTGAAAATTTCTTGCATATTTATTTATTCGAAATAATTTAAATAATTCAAAATAGAAATTAAATCAAACTATTTGAGTGTTAGAGTGAAAACTTTATGAAATTTTATGTTAAAAAGCGGTTGGAGTGTTCGGACAGGAAATGTTCGATTATCGACAAATACCAAAAATAATGGTATAACAGATTCTGAGAAGAAACATATCGTAGCTGTTTTAGCAAGAGCTGAAGAGAGAAGTATACGGGAACAACAAAGGATAGGGTTTGTTTTTGTTTTATTCAAATATTTTCAAATTATAATTTAATAAAATTTGAAGGGGAGAAATTCTTCTTTTATCATATATTCAACAAATTACCTAAAATTAATTTTATTAATTAAATTAAATACATATATTTGTTTAAGTAATTATTTTTACGAAATAGCTACCTGTTTACCAAATATAATTTTATGAAAATTTTATAATTAAATTTCTTTATAGTAGAATGATCGATAGATTGGAGAAGATGAATACTCGAGCAACAGGTAATGGTATTACTCAATGCTATTTATGTTCAACTGATTTCGGATTACTTGCATCAAGAAGTTATGCTGCCATGTGCTTACAATGCCGAAGGGTAATTAATATATAATTAATACATATAATTAATATGAAGGATAATTAATATATCTACACATCGTATATATTATCATTTCCATTTTTAATCATTTCTTTTTTTTTTTGGGTGAGGAAAAAATTTAAATTAAAATTTATTTCTTTGAATGTTTTCCTTTTTGTTGAGTTCAAAAATATTTGTCACAAAAATAATTAAATATTTGATTTCTTTGTTTTTCAATTTATTTATTTGCAATTTTTTCTTACATATAAAAAATTACTTAATTATTTTTGGTTTAATTTAAAATAATTTTTGTTTTAGTATGTATGCCAAAAAAATTGTGGCGTTGAAGCATATGATTGCACACGACGTGAAAATATCTTTCTATGCAAAATATGCAGCGAGTATCGCGAGGTAGTAAGTACTGCAATATATTTTTGGTAACTGATCTAAACACTAACCCTTTTACTATTTTCCTTTAATCTATCATATATCTTAAATATGCTTTCATTTATTTAATTAAATCTATTTAATCTTTTCTCATCAAAATTCTTCTCTAATTTTTCATCCAAAAAATTATTTTTAAATAAAAATATCGAAGTTTAATTATTTCTTCTTCTTTTTATTAATACATATTTTAAAATCAAAAATTTGAAATTTAAAATAAATTTATTTAAATTTAGTAATTTTTAATTTAATTAATTTATGATAATAAGCAATAAAATAAAGAAATTTTTTGTATGATAACAAATAGTTAATTGTTTGCAACATTTTTGTTTCTTTTTCTGATTTTAAGATGTGGAAAAAATCTGGTGCATGGTTTTATAAAAAAATACCGGAGTATATTAAGCCAGTTGAAGATCCGGAATCACATTCAACATTATCACGCTATCCGAAAACTCCATTGCAACATTATACAAAACCAGAAACATCAAATTTAACATATTTATCCGATAAGCCTCAACAACAACGAAAAGAGCGATACAGGTCAATAGAGATATTTACTCGCACTTTTTTTAAAAGTTTCATACATAGTTAAGCTTTTCAATTTTTTGATATTTAAGAAATGATTAGGAACGATAAGCTATATGTGTTATTTTAATTTTATTTGATGATTCATGCAAGTTTGTTTCATAGTTATATGCTTCTTTCCAGGTACCTCAAATTCATTCCTTTATTCAATTATCAAAATTAAATAATCAGATTTTTAAAATTCTTCGGAGAAATAATTAATGAAAAATCTATTGTAAGCTTTACACTACTAAGCTTTCATTTGCAGCTCCACTGTATTTAACCATACTCGAATAAATCCATTATGGTTACATCAAAAAGTACGACTATCATTAAATAATGGCTATGGTTCCGACGATGATGAAAATGCGGATAATTCAGCATCTGAAGAAACCAAAGCATTCCTAAAAGAGAATCTTCAACTAACACAAACCGCTACACCAAATCGATATATCTTAATTCGAAAACAAAAAGAAATACAAGATGTACCCGTTGTTCATAGGTTTGCAGTTAGTGGTCGAAATCGAATTACTGATATCGGTACAGTGATGTTCCGTTTTTCTTTTTCCCTCATGAATTTTAGTTTTTTATTCTCATCAATTTGAGAAGTGAGAAATTTTAAAAAATGTGTTAACTTTAGCATATTTACAGAAATTTCATTTTGGCTAACAGTTTTACTTCTGATTTCGTGATTCTGAAATTTACACCTTATTTAGTTTAGAGATAATAGAATTCGAAATCTTCCATTAAAAATGCTAGCTATTATTGCGCTTTTAGTAGTATAGATTGATTTATGGTATATTTTGATTTCTTTGAAGAAGGAAGCGAATCATATCATTCAACGCCATCAATGTCACCAAGGCATTCACCCTCATCATTCGGTGATGATCTGTCGCAGAATCAGTCATCAATTCTAGCATCAGAATCTATTGATTCTGGAGGTATCAATTATGCTATCTCACCATATTCGCATCCCCAATCAAATAACAGTTTTAAGAATCTGAAATATCGGATTAGGACTGAAAGAATCCTGAGCTGACCCTTTGAATATTATTCATGAATAAAATATTCTAAAATTGATGGTTGTTGATATGAAATCGTTCGATTCTAAACGATTACATAAATTTTTGGCAGCTGAGATTTGCCAAAAATTGGGTCTCATTTCAGTTGTACCAAGTGATCATTCAGTGCGAGTATCAAAAATTCTCCCTTTAGCTGATCCAATGAATCCAATGGTAACGATGATCAGACATGCCGATGAAAGCTGCAAACTTATCAAACATTCAAATCGCTCTCGAAATTTATCATCATCATCATCATCATCATCCGAAATTCTGAAAGCATTTCCGTCATTCGAAATACAAACTAAGTTGGATCAAGAAATTCCTTCACAAATGAATAAAAAGAAATGCTTCTTTCCAATGCAACAAACAAGTAATAAGGAAATTTTAATGGAACGTCAATTAAAAAAAATGTTTCCATTAATGACATCCGCTAACGAATCGTTACCGCCGATGGGATCACAACATAGTCTACAGGAGGATCAATTTTTGGCACTTTCTCCAAGTTATGGATCAAGTCCATCAGGTGCAACTGGAACAACAACGATAGCAGTAGATTTGCCGAAACAGCATTCCTCAAATCAGGAACATGCTACCAGTTCCGTATCATCAACATCATTGGCTCAAAAATCTATGATATCCCCTGATAGTCTTCCATTAAATTTAAAACAAATTAAAACAGTTAGTATTTCAATTTCTTTCTTTCTTTTTTCATAAAATTTCAATTCTTTTTTTTGTTATGTGTTGAAGATAAAATTAGAATTTAATAATAAAAATTTCTTTTGCATTACAAAACATAACTTTAATGTTATATTTTCTCAAAGTTATACGGTAAGCTTATTTTGCTATCATTTACATACCGTAATTAGCTAATTCGAATTTCTATTAAAGTAACTGATAGCTTTAACAAATGTTATCAAAAAAATTTAAAGATTTTAATAAATTTAATTATTCCTGAAGTTTAGAATGAAACGACAACTTTTTGCAACTTTGCTTCATGTAGAAGTAAGTTTGTCTTTTGTTTTATTTCTCTATATGCTGCACATACCGTAATACTTTTATGACTTCAGAAAAAAGAAACCTCTGCTTCTTTTCTTCTTCTAATTTAAATTTCAAAATTTTATGCATAAATTTTAATCAAAAATATCTGCAGGTAGTAATCGTATCAAGAAATAGATATAGCTATATGGTTCATATTTTATTCTCTCTTATATCCTTTCTTACAAATTAACAAATAAGGAATTGCAGTGAAACAATCAATGAAAAAAGGCCTATCAACCACTCAATCAGCGGTTTGCTTGCAATCTTTGGTTGCTACTGAACTAATGCTACAAGGTCAAGCAGTACGTCATGCTCATTCCGGCAGTCATATTATCAGTTTGCAAAATTCTGATACTGGTAAATGTTACTTATCCTCTTTTATTGTTTTCTCTCACTGTTTTAGCAGTAACATTTTTTATTATTAAAATTCTTATCATTACTATACATTACAATGATTCAACAGATATTATGAATGGCAGAAATTAACAAAAGTTTCTTTCTTAGAATTCTTTTTTTTTTAATTAAAAATTATTTATAAAGTATAAAATATTTTAAATGTATCCATTCCCTTAATTTTGCATTAATATAAGCAAACTTATTAGTGAAAATATTTTGTATATTTTTTTATCTTTCAAAAAACAACTTAAATCTATCAAATGATGAAACTGTTTGAAATTAGCATTTCGATAATTTCCATATTTAACTTTTTTCATGTCTTAAGCAACGATTCTATCAGTAACAATATAGAGATACTTAAATATAATTTTAATACTTCTATCTTATTATTTAAGTTTGATAAGTTTGATAACAATCAAATCATTATAATGTTTTTCAAGTTTGATAACAATCAAATCATTATGATGTAAAATTAGGGAAACGAGGAAAAAAGTGCTAGATATAAACTGCATTAGTTAATTAGTTAATTAACTATGGTATCCAATCCTAACTTAACTACAACAAGTACATATGATATGGTGAAGTGTGAACAAATGCAAGATAACTCGGAACTTAAATTGAAACTTTAATTTTTTTTTTAGATACACTTGGATCGATTCAGTTTACACTTCGATATTCTGCCCATGAAATGAAACTTCACGTTCAACTTACCGGTGCTAAAGTAATGCATAGAATATATATATATATATCATGGCAACAATGATCATTGTTGTAAAATAAAATTAAATTAAAATTGAAATAATTTTAATTATTTTAATTTGAAATATGCGGTACTATTTGATTTAATCAAATTTTTCAGAATTTACGTGCAATGGATAAAAACGGGTTTTCTGATCCTTACGTGAAATTATATTTAATTCCTGGAGCCTCTAAGGTAATAATTGTTTTTTTTTAATTATATTAGTTTATTATTTATTTATTTATTTATTTATTTATTATAATACTAAATGCTTCTATATTTTTAACATTTAGAATTAACGATGTTTTAATAAAAATTAAATTTTCATAAGCATTAATTATGATAATTTATTATTTAGGCGACAAAAATGGTTAGTAAAACAATTGAAAAAACTTTAAATCCATTATGGAACGAAGAATTCACATATTACGGTATTACTGATGAAGATCAATTGAAGAAATCACTAAGATTAGTGGTACTTGATCGTGATCGAATAGGTTCCGATTTCCTTGGAGAAGTTCGCATTCCACTCAAGAATTTGAAAAATGAAGAGGAAACATTTTACAACTTACACTTGAAACAAGAGATGCTGGTAATAAAATTTCATTTTAATATTGCAATTTTTAATTTTAAATTTGAAAGTTTTGCAATTTAAAATAATAATTAAATATTAATAGATTTATTTTTAATACCAACGATGATTAAATTTAAGAGTGGTTTAATTTTAATAATCTTAAAACAGGCGCAAGATGTAGATGTTAACAATGAACGTGGAAAAATCTGTTTGAGTTTGTTATATAATGTACAACAAGGTTCACTATATGTTACGATCAAACGTTGCGCAGAATTGTTAGGCATGGATAGAACAGGTTTCTCGGATCCTTACGTAAAAGTGTAAGCGTCGTTTTTTTTTTGCCTGCTTACAGTTTACTTAAATTTAATAGTTCATCAATGAAACGAATGTTTTTTATAATATTGATTTTTAAATTCTAGATTTTAATTACGATATTCTTTTGAAATCATTAAATGTTAATGATTCTACCGTTTCATCTTATATATAGTAGCTATACGGTATTACCTAATCTATTTGATTTCTTCTGAAATCATTAAATGTTTATGATTTTACCGTCTTATCTTATATTGAGTAGCTATACGGTATTATTTAATCTATTTGATTTCTTCTAAAATCATTAAATGTTAATGATTCTACCGTCTCATATTATATTTAGTAGATATACCGTATTATCTAATCTATTTGATTCTTCTCTCTTTTTTTTTAAATCTCAACTTTAAAAAATTTCACTCTAGTTTAAATTTAAAATTTTTCAACTGTAAATTTAGATTTTAATTTCATTCAAATTATTACTCTAATATTTAACGAGCTTAATTTATAGCTCATTTCAGCTCATTACTTCCACTTACCAATAAAGCTCATAGGCAAAAGACATCAACAAAAAAACGAACATTAAATCCGGAATTCAATGAGGTCAGTCGTGTTATGTCATGTAACCGATTAAATTAACATTTCAACCATTCACTTACTGTGACCTCTTTATCCATTCTTACACAAATATTTCATTTACATTATTTAAATTTCAATTTTAAAACAAAATTTCATAATCATTCGATAGTAATAGAAAATATACAATTTTTCATTCAAAAATTATTTTTCAACTAATAAATGTATTTTTAAATTATTAGCAAAATCTTTATCATAGATGCAAAAGAAATTCTTTTTTTCATAAAATACTGATATCTTTTATTTTTTTTCAGATTTTAACATTTGTGGTACCTTTCAAAGATTTACCAAAAAAGACGCTTCAAATTGATGTTTTCGATAAAGATGTTGGAATGCATGATGATTATATTGGTAAATAAGTTCTTTCTAAATTTTAAATATCTTTTTACAAGCATTAACACTAACTGTATTCACACTGATACCAATAGCAATCAATATTTATATCATAATAGACAATAAACATTCCATATACATTTTTAAAATAAGGATGTGTATAAATTTAAAAATTTTTTTAGCTCTCAATAACATTTTAATTCTGCTATATGAATAGCATTTATGTTATCAATGATAGTTTTCCATCTTCCATTTTGCTCATTATCTGAAACTTCGATATTTCTATTTAACTCAAACTTCTCCGCTTAATCCCTATTGTTCACTGAATCTTTGGACAGAATATCATTAGCAAATTATTGGGTAGCTTATTTAAACTTCTTCGCTTAATCCCATTTCCAAATAATATTATTGCTCAAGTCTTTAGTTATAAAGTTGCGAACAAATAATAGCAAATCTTTTGTTATTTAGGGCTTATAAAATATGAAGGATCTACGGTAGCGCTAATTCAAATATGTTGACTATACATTGTAATTTTCTGGAAGTCAAGCATTGATTATAATTCGATTGGACTCAGTGTAAAACTATCTACTATAAAAACTAATTCTTAATTGGAAATTGAACAGTATATATATACCAGTCATCATTAATATATATAAATTAAGCTGTCATATTTACCACTTCCCATTTGTTCCATTTTTCAGGAGGTATCCTACTGTCCACGTCCGCGAAAGGTGAGCGTGAGAAGCAATGGAATAATTGTATTCAGAATCCGGGCTACGAATTCGAACAGTGGCATAAATTAGAAATCATTGAATGAGAGCAATTCTCTTTTTTGGCATAATCGACGATGTAATTCCTTTTGTTCTGCTCAATCGAAAATTTGCGTGTTTACTGCACCGTCCTTTTCCCATGTTTCTTTCCGATATTTTTCTGCTCCTTTCCGGTATATTTCTTCATATCACTTTGTATCATGCTTAAATTCAAATCAATTGCGAAAACTTGGAGTAAACATCGAGTTTTCCCACCACATCTTACGAATTCATCCTATCCTTAGAGAATATTGCTTCTTTTAAAAATGGGAATTCCTAATAGTAGACCAGTAGCATGTATATCAATGCTTAAGAAAAAGAATTCAAAGAAACATTCGACAGCAAAATACTTAATTACAGACTTGCTAAATTTGTGTAAGGACAGAACTAGAACATGATTTCTCTCAACAACTCTTTCACAATTTCCGTGCAGATATTATTTATTGAAAATCAAGAAAATAAAGAAAACAACTGACAAAATAAAATAAAACTACATAGTTTGTTCATTTAAAAAGAAAAATTGAAAACATTTGACAAAATTACTTCCTAGTATAAGAGACATCTTACATAATAAAGTATGGATATCCATCAACCGCAGTGCTAACTCAATTGTTCAGTTTTCTCTGGTGTTGGATTGGAATCACATTCCAACCTGAATGTTGGTACTTTGACAAGAAACGATGTTCGATCTTCTTCTCGTTCCATTGTGAAATTTCCCCTGAAACAAAACAAAATGTCTTGAGTTTCATATAATGCTATTTTTTTAGCAACTGAACTATTCTGCTATATAAATACTATTTGGTCTAATGTGAATATTCCATCATGCTTTATTCGCATTTTCTCCATTTCTTCGCTCTACTCTATCTCAAAGGAGTCAGCTTAATTAACAGACTTGATAATCAGCGCTTTCAATTTAATTATTTATCGATCCAACAATCATCACTTAAAAATTATTTCACTTTATCCAGCAAAAAATGGGGTAATATAATAACGAACCATGCATACGATCCTTTATCCACTACTACACCAACCATACCGCTATATTGAAATGCCGGCTCTTCTGGTGTTAGTCGAGGATTCTGAGGAAAAAACGCCAAATTTCAATTTTTTAAAAGCACTTCAAGAATTTTAACTTAATAGTTTTTTCTTCGAAATCTGCTGGAAAGTTTATAATATCACAATTACTACATCTTAAATGATCTTTCCTTCGCTCATTAAATTTGGCCGATATTCTGATAGACTTACTTTCAAGAACTGACATGACTTTTCATTATCCAGCTCATTTGTGAAGCTGTCAATGAAAAATACTAATAACAATAACAAGAAAAGAAACGTACCCCACCAGCAATGCTTGGTATTTTCTGTTGTTGCATATTACTCAAGCTGTAAACTTTCATTTCTCTCGAACGAATAATTATGTGACAAGGTTTCAAGTTTTCCAAACGTATCACATAACGCCACTAGAATATGTAGATTGTTAAGTACACCATGAAAAAATGATCAGAACATGAATAAACCAAATGAAAATTCAGTCAAATTTGCCCGAAATTTACTTAAAACAATTTTATGGATGAAATATCTTAATCGGATAATAACTCACCCTCATTGTATACATGAAATTTACTTTCAAGACTTTTTTGAATAAAAGTACTGAATTTTTACCTTCTTTTACGATAATCAATATCAAGAGAAACAAACCCAGTGTTTTTGTTGTCCACTAACAGTATTTAATCCAAGATAAAATGTTATCACAGTTACCTAAAAAGAATAAGAATTTTTGGTGAACAATGAAAATAGCAATGCAATTACAACATAGGAGTGATAGCCACAAGGCCAAAATGCCCATTTATGGTAGTGAAATGGTAAAAATGATTTTAGTGAAAACAATTTGGGTTAGAAAATTTTTGCCACCAAAAAAAAAACTGCCATTCCAATAGTCTGTAAAACAAAATACTAAAATTTGGAAAGGAAAAAAATCCGAGTTTGACTGAATAAAATCTCAATATAATTAAACAAATATCGAAAACACTTCTACCCGTATTCCATCTGTCGTTTCGCGATAAGCGAAGTGGGGTTTGAGTTGATTCAATATGCAGTTTGAATGTTGACCTATCAGGAAGCTTGGTTCTTTACGTATGCTGAATATCAGGTCTGAAAAATAAAGGAATTATAATGTATAAATGAGGATTAATAGTGCTACTAATGAAGCTATAAAAGAAGTTACCGTTATCTTCTACTGCTGTACATTCGAAAAGGCCACCGAAAAGGTTATGAACGATAGGACGTGTGATGTGTGTCCTATATGGTACAATTTCAGCATGAGGAACACAATCCATTCCAAATACAACAGTCAGAACTTTCTCACCGTGAATTGTACCTGCATCTTCTAAATACGAAGTAATGTCCACTGGAAAATGCTGAAATGAAAAATTAATAAAAAAAAACAATCGTTAAATTATTTCCTAAAACTCAGTCATTGAAATATATTGCAGACAAAATACAAAGATTGATCAGACTTCATCTCTGAGGGTCGCACCGAATGACACTTCTGATTATTATGGATATCAGAATGAAAAATATTTCCAGAATATAACCCTGCGGTGTGCTAAAAAATGATGAACGAAAAGTTAAAGTTTTTGGAATCATGAAATATCCATTGATATTAATATCCTCAACAGAATAAATAAGGACCACAAATAATAGAAATTAATGCGAAGCTTCCAGTTTTCCTCAATAACTATGCAAATGAATATCCACTAAATGTAACCATTTAAATAAATTTCAAACAGACCATATTTTTCCAGTCACCGCAGTGAACAAGGACTTGATAAAACAATGATTTGTGAGTTATTATTACGGGATCATCATTACTGAAAATAAAAATAAACCAGATGATCGAAAATTTAAATTGAGATTTGAGTAAGTTATGACTTTCGAACAAAAACTTTCGGAACTTGAAATTTGATTGAAATATGAAATGCAGATTTTAACAAAAATTAACTATTACGACTGATTATTGTATGACTAAAAAAGTGATAGTAAAATGAAAACGCTGAAAACATAAAAGAAGATTGTGAAACGTGAGATGGATTCTACAAAAGATAGAAAAAAGTAAATTTAATAATTCGATATATATTCAAAAAGTTTAAAAATGTTTACTTTGCATTAAACAGCTTTTCTTCAACAGGACATGGAAAAGAACACAAAACGATGCCCCTGTAGGGAAAAAGCTTATGAATAAATAGCTGAAAAAAAGTGTTTTAATAACTCGTCAATAAGAATGCCATGCAACATAATTTCAAAAATTAATGTTAAAAATGTTAACTGTCATTTGATAATGCAGAAATACCAAACCTCATTTCGCACCAACTGATAGATACATATCATAGGTGATCTAATCAAGATGAAAATTTTAAAATCCCACCTGGCCCGGCGTATATGGCTCATCATCAGTTTGAACAACTGTTAATCGGCCTAAATCCTTCAAAAAGACATTACCGCTTCCTTCTCGTAATCTAAAATTTATTTCCTATCAATTTCACTGGAAATATATTCAAAACAAAATCAATTAGAATCGCAAATAGAGATTACCAACGTTAGCATAAGTCGACCATACCTTGCCAATAAAGTAGTTGATGCAAAAAATGACCGAACTGGTGAGATCCCAAATAAACCCCGCTGGGTCAGCAATCCAGACATCTCACCGGGATTAATCCAACCATGTGATCAATGTGTACTCCCTTTCCATTTCTTAAGTTCTGTTAAGTTCCAAAACATTAGTATGTAAATCACATAAAAGAAATATTACACTTCCAAAACTGACATCAAAAGAACCCATTCAATAAGCCTGTGAAAATATTCCTAATCAGTACTGATCTACTTATTTAAATCAAAAAGTTCGTTATCCCACAAATAACATCGCCAAATCCTTAAATTTACTGCTAACCAATCATGAAAAAAAATTTAGAATGAGAACAACAACAAGTAATGGCTGGTGTATATGAAGTACCAGATATAAACACTGAATATCGCATTTAGAAAATTTTTTTATTTATGTCATAAATGTACATATGCAAAGAAACAATGAGGGAAAGAGAAATGGTTAAAAGTTCGTTACTACTTATTGCCATCACTCTTCATGCCGATATGGATGGCACAAATCCCGCATGAAAGATTGCTGTACTTCACATCCTTGAAACCAGCCTCCTCAATCATCTGTTTGTATTTATCCTAAAAATTATTTTATTTCTAAAGAATCAAATATTTTCGAGAGAGCAATAGTGAAATACATCTTGGGAGTTCACTATAGAGCGGTTTTGAGACATAATCTGTCACTCGACGATAGATCAAAGAACTTTGGAATATAAGCAGCTTAAAAATTCTTATTTGCAATATATGCAAATTTACCTGATGCGGAAATTTCCGTATGCTTTCCACCAAATAACAATAACTATGAAAATCACCAGCAATAACTTGCCCCATAACAGGAATAATTTGAAAACTGTAAAAATCGTAGAACGGTTTCAATAACGGATTGATACGGCTAAATTCCAGACAAGCAAATTTGCCTCCTGGCCGAAGAACACGATATGCTTCTTTCAGTACCTGAAAATTGCTGGCAGCATTATTAATATTACAATATATTACTAAGTACGCTAGCATTATCTTACTAATATTATTTCCAATCGCTTATATTTTCTGCAAACTCTGCAATTACGTAAAGTCAGTATTTTGCTTTCGGGATACATATATATTACTTGAATATGTAGTTCATATCAATGGAGATAGTTTCAAAAAAAAAATCGATTTATTTGCAGACATACCTTATCAATGTTCGTACAGTTCCTTATCCCAAAAGCTATTGTATAGAGATCGAATGAATTTTCATCAAATGGCAATGCTTCAGCATCCCCACACACCCATTTTAATCGAGCTGCATAATTTTACTGCTCATAATCTTGAATATTCCTGGGGTATTAAGAAATACAAATATTTTTGATCAATCCAACTCATCTAGCTAATCCAAATGATTAAGTCAACAAGTAGCTTTATAAGATAAGACTTCAATGTAATTGCAATTAGAACTGCATAAGAGCAATGGTAATTACAGGATGTACGTTCTTGAAGTGAAACATTCTAGGAAAGACTACCAGCAAAGTTTCAAATATATCGAAAAAAGCTGCTGTGTATTAATTAGTGATACCAGAAACTCGAATTACTAACAGTGACGCAGATAACACATAGTTTATAACAATTGATACTGTTAACTTATTTAAGCAAATCCACTTATAAACTGTGTCTAACCCGGAGAAGGAACCAACATCCCCCTTAATCTTATAAAAAGACAATCAGAAACCTTTCAAAACTGATAGATCATCTATTGCGCGTTGCTGACCAACTTTAAGCATATTTTCATTGATGTCACAGACAGTTACTGAACCTGTACCTTTTCTGAAATAACAAATACATACTTTTTGACATGCAAATTGATCTGACTTGTAGTTTGATAGGCGGTTATGAGCACAACGGAAATAAGAAGAAAAAAATCATTTTAATGTATCAGTATATTAATGCATTAGTACACTAAGGTCATCAACATATTAATGTATCATAAAGTACTGAAATGTGTAATAAAGCATCTAAAACTACATTTCTCAAATGGCAGGGAGCAGCAATATATTTGGAACTACTAAAAAATCATAAGAGCATCAAATTTCAAAAACTCACAAATTATGGTCTTTACATTGCAAAAAAAAAATAATATTTGAGAAGTTTTACTGAACGAAACGTAATACTTGGATTGTATCTCCCGTACGGCACGAAAAGCAATATCACCTGTGCCTCCTGCAACGTCAACCATCGAGGTATTTGCCGTAAGTCCTAGGTTTCTAACAAAGTGATCCTGCAAAAATTTTGCGGCTTACAACTGAAAATGACTGTAACTCTTAAAGCTAGAATCAGCATTATTATCGGAAACATCGAATACCAAAGTTATTTTATGGAAGTCATTCATTGCTCTTTTCTTTTCACTTTCTGATCTTATGTGATCAATAAAACTGGTACATAATATAACAGAAATATAATATAACATAGTCGGAAACTTGACAGTCTAAAAAACAGAACAGTGATAAAAACAGCAAAGACGAGACCAGAGAAAAAAAAACAACCTTCCATAGCCGATGAATGCCCATCGACATCGCATCATTCATCAAATCATACTTGTCAGCAACGCTCGTGAATACGGCATGTACTGAAAAGCAGGTCATCAGTCATATCTTTTGTATCACCGTCATCAACAGTATCGAAGGTAAGATTCAAGATTTTGTTGAAATCTTAATCTAGAAGCCTTACATCATAGAACATTTTTAAATTAACAGGTGAAGGCATATAAATACAAGAAATGGGCAAAAGAAAATGAAAGAATATTTTCATATTTTTTCTCAGTGCTTATTTCACAAATATTCCAGACCAGATTTGAATTCAAAAACCGAGTATGTGATTTACTGTTCAATCTTGGCCCAAATCAAAACCTAAGAGTCCATGAGATGATCTCTACTCTATGCTCTACTCCTTAATATATCACTGTTTTCATATTTTTCATCCGAACAAAGTCCTCGGCTCCTAATGATATCTATTCTTTAACGAATTCTGAATTCTATATCTACTTATTTTCTTTATTAAGTTACTTGCTTATCCATGTTAACAGACCATGTCAAGCGACAAATGATAATAAATGGAGAAACTCCTGAAGCCCGACACATATATAAATATCATTACATCAATCAATATATCTATTTAGAGGTCAATCTTTCCTTGACAAGATGAAATGAAATGATATCAACTAAATCAATCTTTATATTGTAAAATGTCATACCCTTCCTACTTTTCTCCTTTTCATCGACTTCTTGGAAACCAAAATGTGTGGTAGCAAAACGAACAGCGATATTGTCTAGCGGTTTCAGATGATACGGGATAGTTTTCCGGGTAATAAACATTGTCTTGAACTTTCGGAAAATTAAGTCTCAATCAATTCACCAAATCATCAATGCTCATTCTATTTCTCATCAAAGTTTCGCATTTCGCCTCCCCAACTATAATCTATTTTGTATTTTTCAAAGATTGATTCCGAGAGAATCCTTCATTCCTAGTGACGTACTATGACAGAAACTCTCTGCTACTTCACCAATTTCAACAATATTTCCAGTCAATTTTCAATCTTCATCATAATATTTCTCAGTTTTATCAATCTCTGAACTTCTTCAAAAAGTACAGTTCGTCTAAAAACTGTATGAGAAAAACTGAGAGAAAGCAAAAAAAACCTTTGCACACACAAAACTTAAGAGTAAACAATCTGAAAGTATAAATGCAACTAATTTATAAACAACTCCCCACTAATTCTGTTCATATTCCACGGGCCGCATAGAGTAACTCTTTGCGATTCCTGTCTTTTCCCTTGGTTTTATTTAAATAGTGTTAATTAATGAACTCTTTTATCACCATAGTAGCCAAGATATATTAGTTATTATAGCAACATTCACCTTCTTGCTAAATTATCGCATCAATGTATCACATTGGATTAAAGAAATGAGTAAGGAAAGCAAATAGAAAAAAATTTTTCCCTATGAACCTGAATGAAATCATTCAGAATATGTCTTTTAAATGAACACATGTATGCCAATGTAGTTATTTGTTCACAGTATATGAATACTCTATATTTGAATTAATAATTATACAAATATTCTGAAATATTAAAACAAAAGGAATTAATTCGATATTTCAGGTTTATGCAAGGGAGTATAAGAAGAATTTATGAACAATTACGGAATAGTGAATTGTTGTCATCTAGGTTAGTTCTGATTGCATCATATCGGACAATTGAGTTTTTGAATTTAAAATGATTAGGTTGATCTGGGATAATTGAAATAACTCAATTTTTGATCATTAAGATTAGATTGGAATATTTGATTTGAATAATAATTGAAAGAAATATTGTAGTGGTATATTGCATCATCCTACTACACCTACCACTGAACCAAAGATACCTTTTGGTGATTTGTTGAAGAAGCCGTTATCATTACCAACTACATGGCAGGATGGTCGTTCCAGGTTTCTGAAAATTTTCTGGATTAAAAATTATTCAAATATCGATGTCAACTAATGATTAGCACTGAATCAGTTGGGTGAGAAGTTTGAGACAGAGCAGCTTTCGAGAACTCATTAAATTGACTCTAATCGCTGAGGAATATACTTCACCAGTAATCAAAGTCTTCAGATGAAAACTGCTATTGTACTATATATAGTTGGATTCTGAAAGACCGAAAGAACAAAAAATTAGATTTTAAATTATTTTTTTTTGGTAAATATTTGTATAATTTTCTAATCCTTAAGAAATTTGCTTGAGAATACATTAGGTTAATAAAATTGAAAGAAAATTTAGTATGCTATGTGTTATATAGTTTCTTTTGAGGATACCTCAAAAAATAATGACAAACGATACTGCTGGTCACCGTGTTCTAACCACATCGTTAATCACATCGCTTTTGCTTGAAAATTGTGATGGTAGGATGTATGATCGAAGGAAAAAGCGATTTTCTGCTGAAATCAAGGTTTTTTTATTCAAGTACCAATTTAAAGATACAGTAGCATTGATATTTTCGAGATATTTTGGATTGCTTGCTTATTAATTTGACACTTTAGTTTACTCTTATTCGGAGTATAGCTAAAAAAAAATCATTTTTCTAAATGAAACCATTCAAATTTTTTAAGGAAACTATTATCTGACTTCATACATTTTATATTCTTAATTACTGTTAATTAATTACTTAGTTGTAGTGAGATTTATTTATTTGTTCAACATATACTTTGCTTTTTGTGGTGTTTGCAGACATGTCTTTTAAGTAAATATGAGCTTAAAAATCTTTCTATCGTTAATACGAATGCCTATTTATTATTTGCACAAAAATTTTATTTCAAGTTTGTGCGCTTAATATATTGGGATAAGGATTGATATCACATCACATCTCGAACTACATCAATTTTTAATCATATAATATTATAGGAACAATGATTAGATAATTAAATTAATCGTCGATTATCCGTTCTTAAGGTTGTCGATTACCATTTCTTGCTTTTTTTGTAATTCAACTCTTGATTTGGATGTTTTTCTTCAGGTAGAAAGAGGTCATTTATTGCGATCCGCAGCAGATGATGATTCGGCCTTGCAACATTTCAATGATATGCATAATGAAATAAAAAATTCAACAGCTAGAGACATTTTATTTATGAAATGTCTCGAATTCGGTGATATTTATTTACGGGTATCCACAACAAAGGTTTTTTTTGATTTTTCATTTATCTAACTTTTTTTAGTCTTCTTATATCCTATAGTAGAACTGTAAACGACGTTATGCTAATATAATATTGCACAACATTACTTATATTTTACAAAATTTATGCTTCACACTTCAACTGTAAAGCTTTTAATCCATATTACCTTTTTCATGTTTTGCATAGTTTTCAGATTGCTTTATTGACAGATTTTGAAGCTTCGTTGTTGAAAGCAGTTAGTGATATCGAAATTCGATTTCGCTTTCATCAATATTCCGATTTGTTCAATTTTGTAAGCCAGCTAAGTGTGGGGGATCGTGTAGTAGTACAGGTTTGTATTTGCAAGTATTGCAGTATTTAATAATGAAGGTTATTTTCACATGACTTGGTGTTTACAATCCATCACTGTGATACGGCCGTTAAACAGTAGCCTGCATTTTAGTAAGTAGTCGTGAGTAAATAAATAAAATAGTAAATCATTTGCTGACATGTGAAGAATGGACGATGGAAATATCAATAGCCTAATAACTAGATGAATTGAATAGAATGGTCTGAAGACTTAGTTTCTCTGATAAAATTCAGACAGGGCAATGGTCAGCTTAATACTTCACTCGAAAAAGCATACTAAGCTGGATGAGTTGGCAGTTCTATTAACTTGAGAAAGATTGTTTGTTAGCAGTTATATTTTAAAGAAGACTACACTGTGGATACAAAGCGAACGTTTCTTAAGATTTCTACAGAATTAAATTTCAATTTCAAAGTTATTGCATATTAAATTTCCCAAGAATTATTAATTCAGATTTTATTCCCTTTATTTCATTTAAAAAATTTACAGCTCAAACCTGGAATCGGTGAAAGGCGAACGATTGAGAGGTGTTTCAAATCAGGATGGGTGGAATGGTTTGGTGAACCTGTTCTGGATAGTGGATTCTTGTTTGGTATACGTCTTGACGTAAGGATATTTTTTGTTTCCGCAGTGATACGATAAATATGATTTGGTATATTGAAAATCTCAAGTACTAACTGGAGGCAGGGAAAGTACTATATTCAATTAGTGTTTTAAAGAGGCGGGGGAGAATTGAAATCGTAAATTATTAACATCGAATATCAGTTTTTTTTCCTTGAATGGTTTGAATGTTTATGATGCAGGAGAGAGACACGAACTTATCTCTTACAATACTAGTTTTATGTTATTTGGTTATTAAACACATGAATCAGAGCATGGAACGAAATATTAATCGGAATTACCACAAAATTGAAACGCAACTTCACTGAATAACAATTTTGATTCATTAGAATGAGTTATGTTATTGTGGCATGAGATTTGCAAAAAATTATGATTTTTAGGAATTCATTACAAATTTAAAGAAAGCTATAAAATGGGATGGATTGAGAGTTTTAAATGTGGTCGTCTCTCTATAACAAATGTTGAAGCATGTACTTCGAGTATCATGCCAAGTTGTAGTAGGAATGATGATAAAGTATGTATTAACTTTGAATTTAAGAGACTTCTATAATACTTCATTTTTTCTGTCTTAAAAAAATATACTTAGAAAAAAAAAATATATATATACTTAATATACTTAAAAAAATATACTTAAGCACCGTATTTAGCACCGGTGAAATTTCAAAAACCTTAATATGGTCATACTTTTTAATGCGTTTCGCAATTTTAATGTGATTTTATTTAATTTTTTACGTATAGATTAATTGTTTCATAAAAAAGCAGTGATTCGCTGCTATGATGTTGATCTAGTTCAATCAGATGTACAGACTCAGTTTCAAACTAGTTTTTAGTTTTCTATAAAGGTATAAAGAATTTGAAAATTTATTTTTCCGCTTCTTTTTTCTTTTTGCTCTCTCTCTTTTCTCAATGTTTCTTTTCGTAAACATTGATTAATTACTGCAATGCGGATTTGAAAATTGGTAGGAGAAAATAGAATTTGGAATTCAATTAACTAATTTTGCCTTCGTTGCCATTGGATCATTGTTAATAACCATGGCAATTAAGGATTTTGGATTGGTCCTGTGATAGTTACTTCATTAATAAATTTCATGTCATTCGTGTATGATTCCATTCTTCAAAATCTCATATAAAAGACCTTAGATTAACCAATTTTGGATACAACAGATTTCAGTCCAAAATTAGAAGCATTTTCGGGAAAGGATTAGTTTTCACTCCTAAATAATCACCAGAATTCTTTGATCGTTCAGAATAGCTTGTCTGTCAATAACAAATTTTATGCAGACTAATCATGCAGGATTAGAATAACGTTCCAAATAATCCACTTTAATTCACTGATTATGATTGCTTAGGTTAGCCTATTTAAATCTTATGGGAGATTTTTATGTTTTGTTTTGTTTTATTTATAGTATTGTCGAAACTCAAATTAGTTCTTATCGTTGAATTTTCTGATTCTAAATAAAATTTAAAGTATAACAAAAATTATTCACAATTATTATTTACAATTGGTTCAATCGTTATATAATCATTTATTTGCCAACTATTGTTTTCTTTTTTTATGAGAACTTTTTTCATTTCTTTCATTCAAATTTGAAATAAAATTTTTAAAAAATTCAGCTCTTTTTTCTTAGATCTTATACTATTACTCTTTACACAATGGCGTATAACTCTTTTATATTTAAATCTTTATTTATATATATTTCTAGTTTCTCTTCTCATATCATTTTGACAAATCTACTGTATATCTTTTTTTCTGTGAAATATTTGAATGATATCATTGGACATAACTTTCTAACGCTTTTTATTCTATCCTTTTATCTTTTTAGAAAGAAATCGCTTATATATTTGTCATATTTTCATCCAACAAAAATCAGTTTTTCCTCCCAATGTGAAAACTTATTTTTAGTCCAGTATGAATCATTTCAATTGCGATTTCGTAAAAAAAAGGAAAAGGATGAAAAATCAATGATTGTATGGACTATGAAAGCGTTATGTCGCTAGAGCAGACACACTGTAAAGTAATTGGTGATTGAGTTACCACCCAGCGGTTCATTACTCATCTTCTGTTCTGTTTACATCATATCAATAAATCAGCTGTTATTGCTGTTAATGGTTATTGCATGTTGAAACTGTGATTTAATAGTAAGTAAATATTTGTCAGATTTAGACTGAAATTGGATAGGAATGTCAAAAATGTTTTTAGAGTTAGTGATGAGAAGTAAGGGAATGAGAAGTAAGGGACGAGGCTCAACTGATAAGATGAAGAGGAAGGATATGTGAACGATTTTTTTATTTAACTTTAAAGTGATGCTTATTTTCGAACTTTTTCTATCTATTTTTTTGACTCATAAATTTTCTTTGGAAAATTCAATTTCGTTTTATTCGTAGAAAGATGATTTCGTCCATTAATGCAAAATTTTAATTGATTAACTTTTCAAGTACTTGGTCATCATTTCGATTTTTCTATATCTCATATCGATTAGGACAAAATTGATTGTTAAGTTATTATTATTATTATTAAAGGGTCATATGTGCATTTGCTTTAAGTAAACCACTATTCATTGCATATATATTTTCTGATTGATTTTCTGATGCCAAGCTGCTTGCTACCAGTTTAGTTGCAGGCAGAAAAATGATTCTCCACGACTAGACTCGAACTTCCGTTCGCTCTGTCCCTATCATTCCAAGTGCTTTGTATGTTTACGCCGTGTTTACTGCAGCATTTCTTCGGATACGATATTTTCAGTATTTCTCCCGGAAATGATTCATTGAATTTTTCTGAACTATGAGAACGCGTTATATCAACTAGATAATTTGTATTTTGGAAAAGCTCGATGTTTTTTTTTATTTCTGCTTACTGATTTCAGAATTTTCTGATTCAGTGAAATGCTTTCCTTTTCATCCTCTTAAGACACAATCGGATATGATGCTACACTTTATGTATAGTTCGCGGTATAATAGAACAACTAGGTGAGCATAGAAAATCAGAAAGGAGGTACTAGAAATAAAGTTGCTTAATAATTTGGTTTGAGCTTAGTTAAATAAAGTTCTTGAAAGCCGGGATATAGAGAGAAGGAAGCCTTTGCTTTAGTAGAAATTAATTTGATTTGTGGTTTTATTTTGCAGAGTGCCGTTGGAGATATGGATGGATTTTTTAATGGTCGACGACTATTTGCTGCCCCTCATAACGGCGCGGTTCTGGTAAGCGGTGACCGCTTGAGAAATCCACGAAACGTAAGTATTTTGGATGAAGACCCAACGTTCTCTGTTTATAACTTCCCATCACATATGGACCATTATCCTGACGATTGTTTGTCGATAAGGTAAGTTTATCAGAATTTTTTGTCAATTGATATTTTCACAAATGTTGTCTGCTTAACAAGTAATCTACGTAAAAAGTCACGAAATTAATGGGATATTTTTTTTAAAAATATATCTGTTCTTAATCGGTAAGCAAAATAAATTTTTGCTTGATTCAGGCGGAGAGAACGCGAAGCTCTTAGTGTTCCTGTGTCTACGGCAACAACTCAAAACGACGGAATTATTGTTCCTATAATTCGTCTCGAACGTAGCAATAGTAGCAGTAATATTTCTCTCAACCGTTCAGTGGTGCGGGAAGTTCCTATACAAATCGTGCCAGCAACAGGCAGTCATAGCCAAGTGCCGCGGTCAAACTGTTTACCTTCATCTACTTTATCAACCATCGGCAGATTTCCGGTGAATGATGCAGATGAAGCGTGCGTATTTTGTTTTTCCAACCAGTAATCAATTAGAACTTTAACGTCCTAATTTTCATTAATTTTTTGTTCTGCAGATTGATTCTGTAATTAGAGCGATGGTGGTCGGGCAAGCAATAGAGATTTCTGTTAGACGTATGAGTTGCATCTTTACGTTTATAAAAGTTCGTGAATTAGTCAAGCTCTTTTAGTTGTGTGAACCTGGATGTTAATCAAGGCCACAAGTCACAAGAAAAAGCCGATGTCAACAAGAAAATTTCACTACCGAAAAAGCCTATTTATGACAGTGTGGCATCGGGAACTTTATTTTTAAAGGATTTGTCTCGTAATTTATCGGGAACTAAGCCAACAAAGCTTCCAGTAGCTGCGGAAACAGTAAGGTTAGGATATTTTATCATTTTTTAAGGTATCAACATTTTAAGATCAAAACGTATCCGCTAAAAAAATTGACGAATATATTCGTTTTGTAATTCTTAGAAATACTTCGAACTATGGGATTAAGGTGATTTTCAGAATCTTTTAAGTTAAAGGATCACTCGAATGCGCTTTGAATTGTTTAAAAATAATTTTGTAAAATAATCTTAAGAAGAATTTAGTCAGAGTTAAGGTTGAAATCAAATAATGGAGGATTAATGGAAGGTGATCGCGTGGTTTGGTTCGATGCATTGGGTATACCGCGCCGAGGAACAGCTCGATGGATTGGTTATCTGCGTGGACATACGAACATTTACGTTGGAGTTGATTTTGTTAGCTATTTTTTCTAATATAAGCTTTGATTATAACTTCACCTGCGCATTTTTGTGGAAGTGAAAAGTCAACCAGGAAGGTTTTTGTTACACTATCCCTATTTTTCCTAGAAGATAGAGATTTTCCAAAAAATTCGGTCAGGAATCATATAGCTGGTGGGAAGAAACTGGTGATTTTTGGTTTGCTTTAAAAATGGTTGCAATAAATATATATGCTTCATCTCTTTATCTCTCTGCCTTGTTTCATGTCTTTTAAATTCATACTCATAAACTCTTTGCAATATTTTTTCTGTTAAATTACTTTTAGTTCAACGTATTTTCCTTTCAAACAGATTTCTTTAATTAAAAAAAATTTCTTGTCATATTTTGAAAAAAGGTACTCGGAATTTTAAAATTATCTTTTTTCATTCCTATCCCTTTTTTTTTGTGAAATGTATGTGATAGGAAGACAGTGAGCATCGTAAAAATTGCATAAGCTGACCCAGTGGAGCAGGTGGTATGTGCGTAGATGTATGCGTGGATGTGACAAGTTGTTAAAGATGATAATAACTTAAGATGCATAGAATGAAAAGGATTCGCAATCAAGTAGAACAAATAACCTTAAGTATCAGGTCATTTTGATAAAATTATCATGTATATTTTGTTCCTTTTAAATTTCTATTTTCATTCGTTTTTGAAAAAAGTGATAAGTTTATGGTATTATAGGATGAAGCAATAGGTGGTGGAACAGGATATTTTGAATGTGTTGAACTATTCCGTTGTGCGCCAAATCATGCTGGTCTATTACCATTATCGGTATGCATGAAAGAGGCAGATATGGATGATGAGAAAAACAATACCTTAGATATTGGAAGCCTTGGTTTACGACAATCTTCATCGGAACCACAACAGCAGCAACAGCAATCGCTACCGTTTCCGATTCGAATTCATGAGGATGTATCTTCTTTACATGCACAATCGTTGTTGGTTAACGAAAAAAAAAATAAAGAGATATCCAAGTTTCCGCAATTTACTGTAGGTGAGATTATTTAAGCTAAATTCTGTTTTCTTCCTTTCTGGATTTATTTATAAATGTAATATAATGAGATGTCAAGTTAAGTGCATTTTGCAGATACTTT